GCTGTGTATTATGTGAATTAGTACCCTGGCCTGGGATTGAACTCAGGCCTGAGGGGTTCACAGGGCTGAGAGTTAACTCGTAGGCCTCAGGGAGGACTGACTTGATGCTCCTTTTAAGTATCCTTTAAGGACATTCTTTTTTTCCTACTTTTTCTCATTTACCTCAGTAAATTATAATTTCCTTGCTTGTTTTCCACTCACTCAAATGCAAGCTTCATGAAGGCAGAGATTTTCTCAATCCATCAGACACAATTGAAAAGGAAATATGAGCACTTGGATTTAATATTCAATGACTGAATGCATAGATGGATGCATGAATAAATGCTCATCTTCCTTAATAGGAGAAATAAATTGGTCTTACAATCATAAGAAAATATGGATGCTTTTAAACTTAAAGATTTAAGAGAACAATTTTGCAGGAAAGAAGGATTTATCATTAGTGAGTTGGAGAAGGCTGCATGGTAACTTGAGTCAGGATCTTTGTGAATAGCAAGTAGGAAGCTAAGTCCAATTTGATGACAGAAACTAGATATTTTATTTTCAAAAGCACTATCAAAACAAACAAACAAACAAAAAAACTAAGATGTGGAAATTCAGGGTGTGTGGGATCTCACCTAACAGCCCATGGAATAAAGATTTCAGATATCAGTTTCATGGTGGGGAGATAAAAGTTGTTTAATCTTCAGTTTTTTAAACTTATTCAATTAAATGTTTAAACTTGATGGACATTAAAGTTAGAGGATCTCTAAAATCCATTTCTTAGGAATGGAACTCCAAGTTCTAAAGATGAGAAATGGAAAGTAGAAGAAACAGAGATTGAAAGTCATGGATTAGGCATGAGGTATATATTTTGAGATTTGGGCCATACTCCAAAATGGGGTATCATTTTTAAGAGGAAAGGTAAGAGGAAAAGGTGGGGAGGTTGATGTCAAAGGCTTGGTGGCATCATTCTGGGAGCACCCTTCATTTCTAAAAAGTTAAGAACATGGTACAAAATGTTTTCTGAGAGTAAGTAAGAAGCACGTCTCATTTAAATTCCTCTTATGTTCTGAGATACAACAATAATTTGAAAAACAGTGTGATCAATTTCAGGGGATTACCATCTAAAAACTAAACATGTCAAAATATTTTTACTTTCCTAGCAACTGAAAGTAGTGAGTATCAAGCACCAAATAGCTGGGAAAGTGATACCAATGGTGAAAGCCAATAAGCAACGGCTCTGATCTCACCATTTCAATGAATCCTCTCCTGATAATCCATGTATAACACTACAGCATTCATCATTGCTTGGGCTGTCAAATTTATTCTCTGATGACAAAATTTGGTGGTTATTTGCTTTTTATTTTTTGCTCTTCTTATAAGCATCTAGGTCTTCAAAATGAATTATCAGTTAATCAAGGAGATAAGTCAAAGTAAGATAGGACTAATAAATAGTGACAGATACAGGGTGATTTATTAAAATAAAAATGTTCTTATGCTTTGAATCTTACTTAGATTTTCTCCATACAAGCAACAAACATAAAACACACACACAAACTCACAGAATGGTGAAATGATGACTCAGATTCTGAAGGAAACAGAGAAAAGACAGAGCAATCAACAGTAAAGAAAGAGAGTTATGCCCTCTGATTGCAGGTATCACATGCTGACACTGAACACTGCCAACTATTAGGAACTTTCACTTGTGTTAGATGTGTTTCCAGATTCTCATTCTCACAATGTAGCTCACAGAGCTCGATTCTTCCATAAGATCCCCACTTACGGTTCAGACATGCCATGAAGCTTCTAGGCTGGTTCAAACAATTGTCTATGGTGGAAGTATTTGATAACTGGTAAAAGGAGTTTAGAACCAACAAATTCACTCATTTGTAACAGCTCTGCATCATATTATAGGCATGGTATTAGTTCCTTCTCAGGAACATACTTCAAATAATATTTTGTGATGTTTATCTGAATATTTAAACTATCTGCTCACATTAACTTTTAACCCTGGCTTCTGACTTAAGTTGACTTATTTCATAGGCATTTCAGAAAAACAGCTTCAATAGTCCAAAGGAATCATATTTGTGGTTTGAATTTTTATTTGATTGATATTTATTATGCATGCACTTACTATATTCCAGGTTCTGTTCTGGATTTGATATAACATTGACATATTGAAAGAGGCCTTGCTCTAGAAAGCTCATACTGTATTCAGTGGATTGATTAAAAATTCACAACATGGTGTCTATCATGTATGGGAGAATGAGAAGAGAAAAGCTAAGACAAAAGAATAGTACAGAGATACAAAATGATGAATGCTGTAGAGTTTACACGGATTATCCAGGAGAGGTTTCATTAAAATGGTGAGATCAGAGCAAAGTGCAGTAAGGGAGTCATCCCCGTGGTTCTCTGCAGGAGTGTCCTTGTAGCATGTGACAGAGCATGTAAAAATGCAGAACTGCATTTCAAGAAGGCAGTAGATGGGAGAGTGGGGCAAATGGCAGAAGCATTGTCTTTTTCTCATTTCAGGAAATCACATCAATCCAGACCCCCCCCCTTTTTTTTAAATCAAATACAAGGGGCACCGGGGCCATACAGAACAATAATTGCGTTTTTTAAATGTCCGTAAAAATTAAAACATGAAGTAAAACAAATAAATGTGTTCTCTAGTAGAGAAGAAAATTTCAATGAAAATGTTGGGAATGAAAATGAAGTGAAAGAAGCTAAGTGTTTCCTAGCTGTATGGCTCACATAGCACCTTGACACTACTGAGTGAAGACACCTGCCCAATAAAAGGGGTGAAAGGTGACAGTGCCCATCTGGATCTCAGAACTACAGATTGACCATCTCTTCCTATGTGCACTACAAAACTGCTGGGTTTAGAATGGCACAGGGCAAGCTTTCGTTGAATGCAAGCACACCATGGAGATGGTGTGTTTTAGTTTCCTGATCACCATGTGAAGCAAATACATAATAAAAAATGCTAAATGATTATTTTGACTTCCAGTGCATATAGAAGTCATGTTTATGCCTTAATGAATTCATTCAATTTATACGAGCCTTATGTTTAAATGAAAGTATTACTTTAATTTATAAATATTTTATTGCTAAATAAGTGCTAATCATTGTCCCAGACTTCAGCAAGTTGTTATCATTTTGATAGTGGAGGGTCTTACCTCTGTATTGATGAATTCTGCCTGCTCAGGGTGGTGGATGCTGGAGATAGGGTGGCTGTGGGAATTTCTTAAAATCAGACAACACTGAAGTCAACACTGAAGTCTCCTTCTAGAAGATTTCTCTGTGACACTGTTTCATAGCATGCTAAATGCCTGTGGCTGTTATATCAACTAAGTTAATAGAATGGTTTAAACAAAAGCTTGTAGTCTTTGCATCATTGTTCATTCACATTCTTCATCAGAAACAGATTTCTATGTCAAAAATCACTGTTATGGGCCCTCCCTGGTGGCACAGCAGGTTAAAGCACTGCACTGAGAAGCAAAAGCCACTTCCACATGAGTTCAATTCCTGCCTGCCTCAGAGGTGACCACATGGTGTGGCAGACCTCTCCTGACCCGCCCTCTGCTCCCCTCAGCAGTGTACTTCGTCAGCCTGTTCTGCTCCCCACTCTGTCTCTGGTGAAGCCTCTCACTGCCCTGAGCCTCTGGCCTATACCACAGTTCTGTATGTACAAATAAATAAATCTTTAAAAAAAAATCACTGTTATGTTCATACATAAGAAGCAACTCCTTATCTATTCATGTTTACCATGATTTCAGCAATCCAGTCACATCTTCAGGAAACACTTCTAATTCTATTTGTTTTGCTATTTCTATCACAAATGAAGACACATCATCCACTGAAACCTCGAACCCCTCCAAGTCATCTTTGAGGACAGGAGGCCTTTTCATGTTTTGACTGATACCCTGATACCTGGAACAATGGTTGGCATGGAGGAGGAGGAGATAACCCTTCTATCTACCAGCCCAATGAGAGAAGATGCATGGACATTCTCTCAAAAGAAACTTTAGGTAATAGTCAGTACACTATTAGCCTTGGCTATATTCTGTAGTATGAAATAATTATATTAAAATCAATAGCTCACTTATTGAGTGCTTACCATGGGCCAGCCCAGTTTTCACATATTCAATGTTTATGTTCAAAAGTATAGAATGGAGCTATTAATCAAATTATTTCTTCCAAATGGAAACATAGAAGTTCAGTACTTTGACAAGAATGGGTAGTTAAAATGTTAAGTCCTGTGTTGTGAGCTTAGAGCCTTACCTTGAGTTTCTAGAAGTGTTTCCTTCAAAACAGCCATCTGAAAAGAAAGTTTTAGATGAGAAATGATTTAATCTGTTTCTAAAAGCAAAACTGCTCCACAGAGACTCTGGTTCTGGAACATAATCCAAAGCTAGGGAATGGGACAAGGTCTCAATATTTCTGTTTCCCGAAGCTTCAGGGATAAAATATCTATGTCTCACTTTTCCAACTATCCTGCTGATTAGATGATGAGGACAAAATCCATAGGACAGTTATTTGTGCCAAAAGACACTCCAGAGAGAGCCCTGTTGCCCATGTGAAGACACAATGAGAAATCAGCTATCTGTAGTCCTAAAAGAGCTGCCCCTCACTTCAGCATTACTGAAACCCCAGGTTTCAAAATGATGAAAAATAAATTTATCATATTCATCAGCCAGCCATGCTGTCTGTCATGGCTTCCTGTAGCTGTCAGAATGCACTAGGGTAAGAAAGGATGCATTATAGTCCAGATGCCACTAATGAATGGGAGACTCTATCCTAACTGTACACTTACTTTCAAATGCCCTTCTCATTCTGGAGATCCATTCCCTTCCGAGCCACACTTGATCCAAGTGCTACTGAGGCAGTATTGCAAGTATGCATTAATTGATACAGTCTGACTTATTTGACATGCATATGCAGGAGCAGTAAGTGTTGCTCAATCTTCACACACCCTCTGAAGAGGAAGTTGCAGCCAGCTTTCAATTTCACATTGCACAGAAGCTGAGAGAGCAAAGCCATGGCGCGTGAGTTTTACCTCAGAGGACATATATTGGGAACAGAAATAGATTTGGAAGGGGCAGGATTTCTGGAAGTTTTTAAGTAGATTCTGTGAATGTTTTCATGAGCAGAATAGAGGTTGTGGGACGAGATAGCAGAGGGAGGGTGATCATATAGACACAGAACCGGCCGGAAGACTTCCCTAGACTTCACAGGAAACTCTCTAGGGCCAGAGATGGTTTGTGTAGTAATCTGTTGTCACTGTGCTGTCTTAACTGAATTCTACAATAGCATCAACTGAAATGCTGGGAGGGTGCAGAATCAGAGGATAGGGGTCGGTGCATGTTGCCCTGGAGGAAATGGTTTCTCATTTTCATCATTTTATTATACAGAGATGAATAAATATGGGTGTGGTAGTGTGATGCCTACTATCAGGTAACCTATGGAGACAGTATATCTCAGAGGCAGCTCTCAGGGATCATATAAGGATTAGGCACAAACAACCAGAATCAGGATTACTGAGCTGTATAGAGCAGGGCATTTTGTTAAGTCTAGAGGTGTCTATTCCATGTTGTTGAAAGGGAGAGGGGCTGTTTTCATGACTCGAGGAATTCTGCTTTAACAGATGAGGTTCTCCGGGAGAGGAGGAGACTGTTCATCCGCTCAGTGTGCCCAGGTACCATCAACGGCTTGCTGGATGAGCTCTTAGATAAAAAAGTGCTGAACCAGGAGGAGATGGAGAAAATAAGAGATGAAAATCCTACCGTCATGGATAAGGCACGAGCTCTGATGGACTCTCTCCTTCGGAAGGGGCCCCAGGCATGCCAGATTTGTATTGATTATATTTGTGAAGACGATTGCCACCTAGCAGGGACACTGGGCCTTACCCCAAGAGTGGGTCAGGAATGATATTCACGTTGACCTGTGCTTTTGTGCCCATCATTTTCTTTCTTCATTATAGTTTCCAGACACATCCAGAGTCTTGGTGCATGCCTGTATCTGCCCATCAGCAGATCTTTAATGTGTCTCTTTTCCTTTGTCCTCTGCCTTTGGCCTAAATATCTTCGGTCTTCTTTTCAATAAAGTTCAATTCCTGTACTGTATATGTGATGTCTCATTTGCTGAAGTGGGCAGTCATTTTAGCAGGGACTATCCAACACATGGGTCAGGTTTCTTCATAGGCTAAGTGTTCTTTTATTTTATATATATATTTTTTCAAAGATGTATTTATTTCTGTATGCAAGGACTAGGGTACAGAGTGGAGGTGTAGAGGGGATTCACCAGAGACAGAGTGAGGGGCAGAACAGACAGATCTACTTAAATACACTGCTGAGGGGAGCAGAGAGAAGACAGGAGAGGTCTGCTGTGACATTAGGGTCAGCTTCCTGGCTGGGGAGAAAACTCATGCTGCAGTGGCTAGCCGTAGCTTGATATTGCCGTCTTTATGCCCTTTGAGCCAGGGAGGCACAAAAATGCCTCTTTTAACATTCATCTTTCCTCAGAAATTCTAAAGATATTAGACAAACCCAAGCACTGGTTTCTGCCTTCCCGGGTGATGGTAATTTCAAGTATGAATATTTTTGGTCCCCCATCTTCCTTGATATTTAATTACAAGTTAAGGGAAGAATCAGGGGGAGGGCCTGTGGGTAATTAATTCTTTTTTTTTTTTTTTTTTTAAGATTTATTTATTTGTGCATACAGAACTGGGGTATAGGCCAGAGACTCAGGGGTGATGAAAGACTTCACCAGAGACAGAGTGGGGAGCAGAACAGGCAGATCAACGAAGTACACTGCTGAGGGGAGCAGCAGGTGGGTCAGGAGTGGTCTGCCACACCATGTGGTCACCTCCGGGGCAGGTGGGAATCGAACTCATGCGGAAGTGGTTTCAGCTTCTTAGTGCAGTGCTTTAACCCACTGGCCACCAGGGAGGGCCGGGTAATTAATTCTTAAGGATCGATTCCACCCCTTTGCCTCTGACTTGGCAAAAGCCATTCATGCATTTCTGATTTGGCAAAAGCCATTCGTGCAGCTTCACTCTCAAGCTTACTCTACCAAAGCCGAACTCCTCCCCAGGCCTCACTCCCCACTCATAAGCTGGCACCTACTGAACAGGCGCTCTGGTGCCACAGGCTCTTTCATCCATGTGTGCCCAGAGCCCAACTAGCCATCCTGCCCACTTGCTTCCACTCCACTCTGCACCTGGTTAGTGCTACATTTTCCCAGGGCATCAATCCAGAGGCGGAACTTAGTGGCTTCTCTCTAATATCCATATCCAAGCAAGGACCATCCAAACGCATTTTTCTTGATCTCTGCCCAATGCCCGAGGGTCACTCCACATTGGTTCAGCCCTATTACATACCCGCTGTTTACATGGGGCCCTGTGATTCTCCAATTATAACCCTCACTGTATATTTTTTATAAAATTATAATTTTTTGATGACCAAAGTATCTTTCAGTCCCCCAATTGTTAAAAGATTCTGAAGAAATTGAACAGGTCTGACTTATTCCTAGGTATGACTACCTCTAATTTATGTGATCTTGCAGCCAACATCTGTTAAAAACCTATTTCATTGAAATATTCCATTCAAATTGCTATTATTTCTAGGTCATTAGAAATATATATAACAAAAAATGTTCTGGACTATGCCCTATAGTATATTTAAGGAATCATGAACACGTTTCCTACTTTTGTGGAATTTTTATGAATACATGAATTATGAATAAATCAAGAATCTTCCCTATGACATGCAAACTAGGAAACACTTAGGCATGGGAATGACACTACACACACCCATTTCAGTTCAGACGATAAGACACGCTGTAACTACTATGAGTGAAACCATCCAGTATTTCACTCAAAGCGGGAGCGTAATGGATGGGGGGGGGTGGAAGGGGAAGAGAGACAAATAAATGTAATAGAATAAAAATGAAAACAATGAAAAACTATAAACCGGAAATATTTTATGGGGGTGAAAGAGAAATGGGATCAGAATGGGGTGGAAAGAGGGCACTGGACTGTGGTGATGGCACACAGGTGAATTGGTGGTGGGAAGCCCACGGGGATTACAACTGAGATGGAAAAAGGCACATAATGAAGAATGATGTAAAAAAAAATACATATATAATAAATATAATATTAAAATACTGTAAGATTGTAACATGTAAAGTTATGCAAGTTAAACATCATCTGTTCTTTCATTATTGTCACTTTGTTATTTTAAAATTTAGATATTAAATTAAAAATGATTTCTTCTATTTGTGATCTTATACCTGTTTATAGGATCATAATAAAATATCTTTAAGTTTTAATCTGTTTAATTTTTATAATCCAGAAATATGTTTCCCTTGTATAGTAATGTGTAAAGGAAAGAATAGATGATTGTTGATGTTCTTTTATATGTGTATAACATATACATATATAAATTTCCTTCATAAATAGATAATAGTCAAATTCTGATGATAGGTGAAAGTATTAAAATTACTGATATGCTTGTAAGAGTGAAAATTTCAGTTACAATTACAGTTGATTTATCATAACATTATCTACATGTGAACATTCTCATGTAGAATCAGATTTTGTTAGACTTTATACACAGATGGAAAATAAAGGAACAGGCTTTTATTCTTTAGGGGTTAATTTGGAAGAAAAAATAAAAGAAACTAATCCTTCTCAAATTTACAAAGTTGGAATTTAAACAGTGCTAAGTGTGTTAAGAATAAAAGTAATTGGCAATGGAGAGGAAGGAGGGGAAGGAGGGGGAGGAGGGGGAGGAGTAAGACATGTTGTAACAAGACATGCTGTAACAAGGCCAAAGCCAAACATTTAAACTGACTCAGATAGTATAAAAACTTAGTTCTCATTCATCAAATTTCCAAAATGGTTATTCTTCATTAGCCCATAGCTCTTCTCCAAGTGCTAATTCAGATTAAACTTAGAGTATTCCATCCTGTGGCTCTTAGCTCTAAATCTGATGCCAAAAATTTACTGTGGTTTTATCTGTCCAGAGAACTGCATTGGGAGGAATATGGGGGATCGTTTGTGAGAAATTTGATTTGGTTAGGCTATTTTCAGACCAGGTTTTAGCTTGTGTTCCATTGTCTAGAACCCACTCACTGAGACACCCAACTTCCAGTGGAGAAATCATCTTATTAAATAATTAGCATGTTTCTACCACAATGTTTTAAACATAAACATTTTCATTCCACATGGTACTGGGAGATAGCACTGGGAACACCTAGGTCACAGGTGAGAAGTGAGACCTAACAATTTTAAGGATTTTTCTGAAACTGTGGTTTCAGTTTTATTGAATCCAAACAAGGGCAACAATATCTAAATTCTTTATTAAGCAAATTTCACTTTTGTCTGAGTCTAGATTCTTGCACAACAAAAATCAGGCTTGTAGTAGTCCTGGAAGAGTTTTACCCATGGTACTAGAATAACTTCATTGTGTAGTCAACCTTTTCTTTAAAATTAAACAAGTACTTTTCAAAGAAAAAAATTGGGTGACCACTCATATTTTTTTTTACCTATTTCATGGGACAGGACACTGACTAAGTAACTAAATGCCCTATATATGTATTTTTAATAATATAATATTTTACTTTTACATCATTTTGTGCCTTTTTCCATCTCAGTTGTAATCCCCGTGGGCTTCCCATCACCAAATCACCCATGTGCCATCACTGTAGTCCAGTGCACATTCACCCCTGAACCCCATTTCTGATCTCATTCCCCACTTCACCCCCGTAAAATATCTCCGGTATAAAGTTGTTATTATTTTTTTTTCCCCTGCTAGGAATGAAACTATGTAGTATTTTTCCTTTTCTTTCTAGTTTATTTCGCTAAGCATGTTTTCTTCCAGCTCTATCCAAGTTCCTGCAAAAGGCATGTGTTTATCATTTTTGATTATTGAGTAATATCCCATTGTGTATATGTACCACACATTTTTAATCCAGTCATCTACTTTGGGAAATGCCCTATATTTTTACTAAGATAAATTTAGTTCTAGTAAAATCCAAACATTTCCTTTCTTTAGGTTTGTTTGTTGTTTAGACTCTTATTGAAGAAATGGAACATAAAAATAAAAGATTTATTTACTTATGCATACAGAACTGGGGTGCAGGCCAGAGGTGCAGGGACAGTGAGAAGATTTACCAGAGACTGAGTGGGGAGCAGAACAGGCTGATTGATGAAGTACACTGCTGACGGGAACAGCAAGTGGGTTAGGAGAGGTCTGCTGCACCATGTGAAACACCTCTGGGGCAGGGACTGAACTCATGCTGAAGTGGCTTTAGCTTCTTAGTGCTGTGCTTTCACCCACTGCACCACCATGGAGAGACAGAACATATTTAAGTGATAATGATTTCTGTAGTTTTCTCTAAATATCAGTATTCTAATTTATCTCTTACTTTCTCCATAGTCAACATACTGTATTGTGCCTTGATTTACACATATATTTTCTTTGGTTTACAAATGTATTTTCTTCAAATTATCTTTCAAGTTTGAATATAACATTCTTGCCTGGATAGTAGAGCTTTGGAGTTTTTTGAAGGAACCTCCAATGTGAAGAAAACATTTCTATTTAAATAATGAAGATTACACTAATTTATTTAATGCATCATCACATTGCTGGATAGTATTGACTTGTGACTGACAACACTCACAAAGCTGTGCTCACAGGAATCTTCCTCTGAAGATTCCTGTGAGCCTGGATTGGCCTGGATGCCAATTTATCATTAGCTTGCTCGCTCATATAACACATATCTTTTGAAGCCATTGCAATAATAATTAAGGCCAAACTAAAATTAAATTTAAAGGCTTTAAGACATTTGAACTATATTCCTATCAAATGATTTATGTCCAATATAGGCAATAAGATTATATTACAGTTTTCTAAGAATTTTATCATATATAACCTTAAAAAACACTTTCTATTTCCAATTATGCCTCATGGTGTTTGGGAAGGCTTTTGTGGGATGAAAACTCACAAGAAACCCCAGATGTGTTAGATGTTCACATCATTTGGAGCTCTAGTTTTCATCAGCTTTCTGCAGGGACAACTGCTCTCAGGTACTGGCCCTTGACACAGATGGATGA